TTATATCATCAGCTCATTACAGGAGAACTCTAGGGTTTGTCTTGATTGACAGGGTCCCCAAGGCTCCCTACTCCCTAAGCACGCCATATCTGTTGAAGTTCACTTCACTTAGCAAAATTAGTTAAAGGGTTAGTTCACCCAAAAATGAAAATTCTGTCAGTATTTACTCACCCTCATGTTGTTCCAACCCCGTAAGACCTTCGTTCATCTTCGGAACACAAATTAAGATATTTAAGATATTAAGATCGCTCCTGCGGCTTCCATAGGCTTCTTGAGGGACTGGCTCTTGCTGTCCTCGAAAAGTCATTAAAGACATCGTTAAAATAGTCCAAGTGACTACAGGGGCTCAATCTTAAGTTTATCAAACGACGAGAACACTTTTGTGCGCAAAAAAACAACAAAAATAACGACTTTATTTCAACTATTCGTTTATTTCTCCCTCTGCGCGAGTCAGGTTACTAGTTTAATAGCGTAAGCTTCTGTTATTGTACGTCACACGCATCACACACACATGACCAGCGTCGGCCAATAGTGAGCCTACGTGTGACGTAGCTCTACGCAATCACACTACGTTAACTGACTTACAGGCTCATGGAGAAGGAAGTGAATAGTTGAAATAAAGTCGTTATTTTTGTTGTTTTTTTGCGCACAAAAGTGTTCTCGTCGTTTGATAAACTTAAGATTGAGCCCCTGTAGTCACTTGGACTATTTTAACGATGTCTTTAATGACTTTTCGGGGACAGCAAGAGCCAGTACCTCAAGAAGCCTATGCACTGTATGCAGAAGCGATCTTAATATCTTAAATATCTTAATTTGTGTTCCGAAGATGAACGAAGGTCTTACGGGGTTGAAACAACATGAGGGTGAGTAAATACTGACAGAATTTTCATTTTTGGGTGAACTAACCCTTTAATTCGCAAACACCCTGACATGTCTTCAAACACATACAAAACTCAAGTTGTGCATATATGAAACTTTTTGGCCCTGTAGATCAGCGGTATGTGATGTCTGGAGGAAGACGAATGAAGCAAATGCTGAAAAGAACACTCCGTCTACAGTTAGGTGCGGGGCTCGGTGATGCTCTGGGACTGCTTTGCATCCTCTGGCACTGGAAACCTGCAGCGTGTGGAAGGCAAAATGAATTCATTGAAGTATCAGGAAATTCTAGGAAAAACGTAATGCCTTCAGCGAGGAAGCTGGACCTTCCAACAGGACAATGATCCCATGCATACATTCTGCTTGGTTGCAGAAGAAGTCCTGGAAGATTCTACAGTGGCCATCACAGTCACCTTGAACCCCATAGAAAATCTCATGTGGGTTTTGAAGAAGGCCGTTGCATCAAGCGAACCCAAGAATATTACTGAACTTGAGGCCGTTGCTCGTGAGGAATGGGCTAAGATTCACCAGAAATGCTGCCAGAAGCTGGTGTCTGGCAGTACATCTTATTTACAGCTGCAGGTCATAACAGTAAAAGGTGTTCTACGGAATACTAAAGATGCAATCCATGAAGGGGTTGAATCATTTTAAGCCTGCAGAAGTCATTAAAAGTTGCATTTTCAGTTGAATTTGCCAACACATTCTCATCCCAAGACATCATCTAAATACGTCAACATCCAACGTTTTAGGGTACCCTTTAGCGTCAGGTAGGTTTAGGTCTGGGGTAGGGTTAGGATTAGATAGCGTCATCTAACCGACGTTGACGTATGGTTAAAAGCGTCAGTTATAAACCATTTGAAACATTTGTGTTGAGCCACTTCAATTACTTTTGTTTGATTTGTTCATTGCAAACAGCAGAAAGTCTGTCAGATTTGCCGATAAACCTGATTTGCAATTGGGTTTGAATAATTTTCATTACAACTGTTTTCTGCTCATTTATGTATAAAACTGATTTTTAGTTTTATACACAGATTTTAGAGCTTCAGCTAAAAGATTATCAGAGAATAACAACTTTATTTTGGTCTGTTTCTCACCCAAATTTATCATAAGAATAAATGCAATAAATAGATGCAAAATCCTCTAAATGCCATTTGAAATTTTCTTCTTTAATGACGATTTTTATCAAACTTGTATATTTAAGTTCAGTAATTTCACTTAAATAACAATTAATAGGTAATTATCATTGCCATTTAAGTGAAATCACTGAACTTATATATGAAGAGTTCAGATGCAAAAGCCTCTAAGTGCCATTTGAAATTTTCTTCTAAAATGTCATTTTTTATCAAGCTTGTATATTTAAGTTAAGTAATTTCACTTAAATGGCACTGAAGATTACCTATTAATTGTCATTTAAGTGAAATTACTGAACTTAAATATACAAACTTGATAAAAATGGTCATTTTAGAAGAAAATTTCAAATGGCATTTAGAGGCTTTTGCATCTGAACTCTTCATATATAAGTTCAGTGATTTCACTTAAATGGCAATGATAATTACCTATTAATTGTTATTTAAGTGAAATTACTGAACTTAAATATACAATCTTGATAAAAATTATCATTCTAGAAGAAAATTTCAAATGGCACTTAGAGGCTTTTGCATCTGAACTCTTCATTTATGGTATTTAATTGTCTGTTATCTTGACAGATGTGGTCACAATCAACTTTTTGGACAAATATAAGGCATACAACAGTTGTTTTCAACAATATATGAGAGAGTAAATATTTTTTGTTGAACTATTTGTATAATTTATTTACACTTGAAATCAGAATGGGAAGCTAAATGTTCTGTGAACATAATTTTATTTCCGTCTCTTTATTTTACTAACAGACATCTACAGTAAATCATTTGGCAAATAACAATGTTTTGGCAATTAACGTTGAAAAGAACAGTTCTATACACCCTCGAGTTCCTCAGCACAATAGGAATGTGGGTCATTTTGCATTCGAGTCCATAATGCATAGAGGAGATATCATACTCCATGCCGGTGTCAGTGAGACCAGCCTACATGTGTGAGTCAGCCAGAGCTCTGAGTCAGACACCGCTAACGCACTCATAATGCAAAGGCTGTTTTAAAGGGTACCAAGAGCTCACAGCCAGCACTTGTGCACGGGAGATAAAGAGAGAGAGAGAGAGACACAAATCAATACAACTCAGCAATTATGGTCAGTAAGTAAATAAAATAAGCAATCTCTGATTCACTTTGTACACCATGATGAAACCATAAACATGTCTTTCTTATTTTACATTTCACATTTTTAGTCACAATACATCTTTGTACTATCATCGTTTCAATAAATCACACACTTGAAAATAAGAGAAACTTTTAGCCAAAGTTTTCCAGTCCAACAGTGTTCAAAGGACTTGTTCCCAATCCCCCCAAAAAACGATATGGACGATCACTGTGAAAACCGCTTTAGAGACAGAAAATGGCCTCTCCATAACAGTGTCATCTTTGTCTTCAGCAGGAGACTTTTCTTCCTCGGTGCAAAGGCTCAGAAATAGCTTACTTTGTCTGTCTCATTTCAGCACTTCATCCTCAGGCATTCGCTACAGGTTTGAGATCGTCCAACAATCCGGCTATTTACAATGCATAAAGAGCATTCACGGCAAACCAATTATCTTCGACAAACGTTGATCTGAGACGTGTAGTAACCAAGACAATATTATGCATCATCTCAGTTTTCCTCAGAGTTCATATAAAAAAAAAAAAATCTGGTGCATTAAAGTGTGCACATTTGAGTAATATACAGATGGACATTGTTAGAATAGCACAGTTTTTAAAAAAACAAAAAAACAAACAAACACTGATGGTATATGAATACAAAAGTAAAAAAACAAAAACAAACAGGCATGGGATATTTGATGATGCTGTTATTGTTCATGTTCAATTGGACACAAACAGCAACACAACATTAACCATAACCCACAATGTGTGCTTCAGACATTAAAAAAACAAGAATGATTTAAAATGTGTGAGTAATTGGGCATCCTTTTATATATTAAAGTGTGCTTTTTCATATAAGCAGATAAGCAGTCCAAAAATCAATTTTCTTAACACTTTTTGTCTTATTTCCCAGTAAAAATCCTTAAAAACATTCTGTTTTCACTGAATATGTAATAGTTTATCTGACAAATGCATTCCAGAAGCTCAAACAGTGCATGGCACTTGCAAAACCAAGGCCAGAGGTTCGATACCTGGGATAAAACTTCATCCGCCAAACGTTTACATGAAAATAAATGTACTTTTTTTCCCCCTTGCTTTAAGAATCTAGCAAAATTTACAGAAGTTTATGGTTAAAATTATTAGAAAAAATATATATTTTGGCACATTTTTTCCTGTTTTAAGTGGATATTTAAAAAAAGAGTGGTGAATAAATCACACATTATTTTGTGAGGATTATGTTATAAGGGATAGTTATAATTTCATGTCACAATTATTCGATAAACTATCCCTTCAAACATAAAAAAGTAAATTAAATATTTCTCTCAGAGAAAAATATTTAGTTTTAAGCAGTTTAGATTTTATTTACTAGAAATAAGACAAAATAGCATTTGAGAATGTGATTTTTTTTTTTTTTTGCAGTGACAGCATAAGCAGCACAGTCTGTGATCCACAGTTGAAAATGTTCTCATTGATCAATAATACAGTTCGTTTACCCTCATCTAATATTAGACCATCAAAAACAGTACTTCACCATGAAATGAAAGCCGATCTGAGAAATGCGATGATTTAAACCCAAAGATCAGAAGCATCTCTTTTGCGAAAGAAAACTTTGGCAACAAACAAATCCTCTAAGCTTACGACTAAAGCAACTTCAGAATTAGAAAAGTGAGTCATTATGCTTCTCATATTATGACTTCGTTTGTCTCATACATCAAGTGCGTCTACTCATTTGGCAACACTTGGAAAAGGTCTTCTCATTTCTGTAAATATGGCACCACCCACGCATGACTTTATGTATATTAGCCTCCTGCTCTCAGTAGCCTTTAAACAAAAGTAACATTGAAATATTTCAAAAACAAAACTTTACAGTACACATTGATACATAACAGTATCACATAAGCTACTTAACAGTGATATTATCAGCAGTTATTCAGTACAGCAAGACATAATCAGCAATAACGCACTCCTGGCATGTTTGTTTTTCAGTAGCAAGTGCATGATGGTCACTATGGTGTCCAACATAGCATGTAAAATATGAGTGCGCAAAACAAATAAAAGGCAGGTTGTCTTAAGTTAAAACACATACTATAGCCTACACATTACATTTACAGTACATAGACATTTTGCACAACATAAGTTCTGTAAACACTGCATAGATGTCTCTAGCACTAACATTTACACAATAACCAATGATATAAAAGAAGCATAAAAATCTCAATTTCAGAAAGTGCACCGCTCTCATTAAATAAACAGATTTCTGATTTGATGTCATGTATGAAAACAGCGAAGATTTAAAGGGATAGTTCACTTGAAAATGAAATTTCTCTCATCAACACGAAAGAAGACACTTTGGAAAAATAACTTTAGTGTGTGATGTTTTGGACCCCACTGACTTTCAAATGCATGGGCAAAAACACTGAACAAAATATCTCCTTATGTGTTCCACATTAAAAAGAAAGTCATACAACAACAATAGGTTGATTAAATGATGGCATTTAAATGGATTTTGTGCATTTTGGTCAACATAAATGTTCCTTTTCATATAAATAAGTAACTATTCAACTCTGAAATGCACGATTTGCATCATGATTGAGTGAACTATCCCTTTAAGTGCATTTTGGTCAACATTAGCTGATTTATTAAACTCTAAAATGCACAATTTGCATACAAATATCACTTAGGTAATATCTTCTTTTGTGAAGAGAGAAAGTCATACAAGACAAGTAGGTGACATTTAAATGGATTTTGTGCATTTGTTCAATAATAAATATGTTTCTTTTCAAATAAATAGTAATTTCCATCATTTTAGGCGAACTATCCATTCAAATGTATTTTGTGAATTTTGGTCAAAATCTGCTCTCCTAATAAATATGTACTCATTCAACTCTAAAAATGCATGATTTGCATCCAGGTTAAGAGACACGTGAAACTGAACACGAAGTAAATGTACAACTACTTTGGGAGATTTTACAAAAATAAAAGTCTGTAATTGCTCACAACAGACAGACCCTCATTTGAATGAAGTTACATGATGAAGCTCTTATTGTCAAGCAACTTTCATTAAGCTGGTCCAGTGGTTTAGGTGCGGATTAACCCCAATACCATTTGTCAAGATTGTTAATTGCCTTGTACTCATTGTGCCTTCTGACGTAATCGCAGGCCAGACACGTGTGCTCGGCCCAGAAGTATGCCTTCTTCACCTTAAAGTGTTTACGCCAGTCAAAGTACTTGAGGTAAAGCTCCTCGTTTTTGTCAAGAAACAGGAGGTAATCAGCCAGCTCCTTCGGAGACGGAAAGTCGTCGACGTGGATGAAAGCGTTTCCCTGCACGAAGTTCTGATAGTTCTCCCTAGGTGGCCCGAGCACCACGGGTACGGTGCCGACTGAAAGTGGGTTGTACAATTTCTCAGTGATGTAGTCTTTGTGAATGGAGTTCTCGAACGCCAAATAAAATTTACAGCTGGCAATTGTGGGGAAATAGTCCTGGTCGGAAATGTACTCGCCGAAAGCCTGTCCGTATGCATGAACCTCGATGTGCTTGTACAATTCGTTGTAGTATTTCACCCTGACGTGATCTGGGTTCCAATTGCTGACGATCCAGCAAATGAGCTTGTTCTTGCTTGGCGGCACAAAGTCCTCCTCTCCTTGGGCAGCGACAATCGATCCGTAAGGCACTTCTATATCGGCATCCTGCCGATAGTTTAGAGTTATATTGAACAAGTTTTCAATTCCAGGCAACTGAGACGAATGTGACGGTGACTCGAAGTTCATCCAAATCCATCTCTGCAACGTGGGCCGATACGCCGGCGGCATGTTGGAGAGGTCGCTGGTGATGTCCCTGTGATGTATGACGACGGCGTCGGATTTGTTGTAAAGGTTGCGGTCGGCGGTGATGAAGCATCCATCGATGCTGAACAAAGAGCTGCAGACGTTCAGGTCGTAGGTTTCTCCAAAAGGCCAAAGCCAGACCAGGATGGTGGTCTGGTTCTGGTCACTTCTGCTGGAAAGGAGGCTTTTGACTCGGGCCGTGGATGTTTCCGACTCGACGGGGCCTGACAGCCAGCTCGTGGATGGTTTAATGTACATTAAAAACAGGGTCACAAAGCATCCCAATAAAAAGATACCAAGCAAGAGGGGTCGTAGGATTCTGTAAGTCGGTGTAGATGGCATGCTCTGGCCTTAAACAGGAAACGGGAAATGGTGGGAAGGCAAACAAGAAAAAGAAAGAAAAGGTCGTTATATGAGACAGCAGTCTGGTTTGATTGTAAAGTCATTTCTTTAAGACTCAGCACATTCTAATGAACTGCATCTCGAGCTAAATGAATACATTTTAATATCCTGCTTAGACTGCTGTTATATATTTTCTAACTCTAAAACTGTCATCAACCGGTAGTGATTCCAGCGGCCATATCAGTATTCCTGTCCACCACCGACAGACGATTCTTTGACCTAAAGTGACCCCTCGTGCAAAGCATTTGTCCCACAAGGATATATTTCTGTTAATGTATCATTGCTTTGCATGATTGGTAACAAATATATATCCTATTCCTGTATATGAATAATAATGCAGCATACATAAATATTAATATGAAGAGTTCAGATGCAAAAGCCCCTAAATGCCATTTGAAATTTTCTTCTAGAATGGTCATTTTTATCAAGCTTGTATATTTAAGTTCAGTAATTTCACTTAAATGACAATAATAGGTAATCTTCATTGCCATTTAAGTGAAATTACTGAACTTAAATATACAAGCTTGATAAAAATGATCATTTTAGAAGAAAATTTCAAATGGCACTTAGAGGCTTTTGTATCTGAACTCTTCATATATTGCATATTAATTCAAGGTCCTATACCATGCATTATCTTGCTCGGAGCAACAATGTAAATGCTTGGAAACAGCCAGTTATTTCTCTGAATAATGTGAAGCTATTATTATATTATATTATATTATATTATATTATATTATATTATATTATATTATATTATATTATATATTGCATAGGAATTAAGTGTTTTTATACCAATTGACTTCCAATTTTCCCCAAATTTAAGCTGTTATATTAACTACCTTCAATACATGCTGCATGTTAACTCTTTACAAAATGGAAAAATATGATGTACAGTAAGTTACTGTAGCCTACTAATAAAAATATGACCTAACGCATAACAACTACATAACTACACTGTAAAAAAATATTTTCATTATTTGTAATCACATTTTTTCTTTTTTCATCAACTTAAATAATTTATTTAGTTCATATAACATATTATTTTGAGTTTCTGATGATTAAATCAATCTCCTTCATTGTATTAACTCACTTTTTCCATTTCAATGAACTTAAAATTTTAAGGCAACCAGGTTACTTACTTTTTTTGAGTTAAACCAATAATATTTTTTTTCAGTGTACACTGAATGACTGTACAATGTGAATTAATTTGTGTATACTTTAAAAATGCATTTCATATTTCAGAACAAGAACCAGACATTTGCAATACATATGTTGTGCCTTGTCTGTCAGCAGATCATATGTATGCTACTGTAATAAAGATTAACATAATTCATAGCCAAGAAACATCCTAAGCACTTAAATGTCTAGGACGTTTGTGTTGTAAAATTGTACAAGGACACCTCAGATATTAAAATACTGTCTGGTTTACTCACTGATATCAGATTGATTTATAGGCAGTTTAATGTGTGGGGATCCACTTTAAGACTTACAGTTCCATAATAGATCATGAAATAGTAAATTCCGTTGGAAAGATATTTCAAAATATATGATTAATATATATTTATCATCATGACAAAGTCAGCTAATTACAAGCACTGAGAAAAATATATATATTGAAAGTAAATAATCTTAAAAAATTCACCTGACAGATTTGCTGATATCCAGTAGGTAAAATGATTATGTTGTTATGTTCCAGGCTCTTCTTTTTACTACCAGAAGAATGTCAGTCTTAAAACCATAGGTCTTCTCATGAGGGAAAAAGACAGAAAATGGATTACATCACTACACTGTAAAAAATGATTTTTTGGTTAAGTAAATACAAGTGAAAAAACCCAATGTAATTTACTTGAAAAAGTTAGTTCAGGCGAGAATTTAAAAAACTAAGTAAATTCCATATCAGTACTTATTTAAAGTGAGTATAAATGAAAGTGTAATATCAACTCAATAAAATTAAGTAAAAATTACTCAACTTTTCTGATACTGGGGTTCCCATCATGCACTGGACCTTGAATAATTAATGAGGTTCATTTTTCACTGGTTTCCAGCTGTATTTACACTGTTTTATCATTGATTTTTGTTTTCAGTATTAGTAAATTGCCATTTTGTGACATTTCGAGTAATTTTTTTGCTTAAAACAACACATTCAAACACAAAAACGATCCATCAAATGTTACCACCATTGTGTATTGTCTACCAAGTATTGAGGTGTTTGCATTCACATGAGGCTTAAAGTCTGACATGATGTATATATAAATTACTTAGATGATCTAAGTAAAGAACATACTATAAATGACTAATAAAATTCAAGATAATTGTTTTAGTGAAGTACAATACAAAGGCAAAGGAAATCGGTATTAATCAACCTTTTACAAGCCGAGTTAAAATTACTTATTTTTTGTAAAGTTTACTTAATTCCACATTCCAAGTAAATTTAACTTAAAGATTTCTAATTAAAGCTACTGATAAATATGTTTAGGTTTTTACTTGGCAAATCTTTGTAAATTTACTAGCATTTTCTGAGTGAGATCGTTTAGCAAGGTTTTTTCAAGTAAATCCTACTCCAATTTTTTTACAGTGTATATAATCAAAACACTTGACCAACAGAAATGGTGTAACCAAACATTGTAAATTGGGGGAACCAAATGTCAAAGTTTAAGAACAGGAAACTCAATATTTATTGACCACTATTCAAAATGCAGGTGGTACTGTGGCCCTGTACCAATCCAATCCTCAAAAATAATTCTGAATTAGTACAAAGAACATTCAGACAATACGTTTTACACATGGGAACACTGCCATCTCCAGGATGTCAAGAGATAATAGAAGCAAAAGGCCATTTTTACACAAAATATTGCTAAGGATCTGGAAACACTAGATTTTGTTTACAGAACACATAATTATTCTTTTTTATCATTATTATTATTTCCAATATCCAACATTCCCATAGTGCTAAAGGTGCTCCTTAAAACATCCCAGTACATTTTTTTGCACATTCTTCAAAAATTACCCAACATCTTCAACTAAAGGGTATTATTTGTATCAGAATACACAATTAAAAGCGAATTTACATTCAATTAACTTAGTAGGTGAACTTCAATGAACAGAATAAACATCTCAATTAGATGTAATTTCACAAGGGCCGTGAAATCTGCCAATAAACAAATCGTTACGCTTCCACTTAACAACATCCTGTTATATTTAACTTGTGTCAGATCTTTTTAAAATCTCTAACATAATTAAAGAAATCAGTGAAATAATGAGTCACATATCTGACTATTAACTTAGACTATTAACAATGAAAATGACATTTCATAATAAAATGATGTAGGATTCTTATATGTCAAATGTCTTATGTGTTCATGTTCCAAACACATATTTCTACTCAGTGCATTTCAGCTGTGGGGTTTTAAACTACACTATCCTGCGGTTGAGAAATGAGCTTCGATTAATCTCTGCAGTGTCCATTTACCATACATCCACATGTGGACATAACAGCCGTTTAAAAGGTTTATCAGTGCATTTGTGACTCAATCACATTATATCACCGCAAAAGTCTGCAGGGAGATTATACACGTGTGACATCCACTTCATTACAGAATGTAATTATTGCTAATGCATGATATATTTCTAAAGGTTAAAATAACATTGGGCAATAAACAGCTGTTTAAAGACCCTTGGGGGGATTTTAATTAACAAAGTGTTTGGCATATCCTGTTTCCTAACTGCTAACTATTACACATTTACACATTTTTGGCCAACAAGACACATATGATCCTGTTAAAGTAAACAGATAGAGCAACGAGGTTGCATGTTTGTGTTTCTCTGGGAGTCTTAGAGAAAGAAATGCATGCGTTTTAAATGTATTGTGATGGATTTGGGACACAGAGTTGCACGCTAGTTGGCTTGAGTGTTCACGTCTAATAAATAGAAAATGTGCATGAAGGACATGAAGATGAAAAGAAGATGCGAAACCATTAAATATAAAGCGTTAGTGTAGTTTATTTAGTAGGATTTGGGAATTTGTGTCTATCCCATCAGTGACATGATGTTATACAGGCTATTTAATGAACATTCATCTAGAATCGTGTTTCTGCTGTTCATAACAACATAAATGAATGTGTTACCGTGCAAGGTGATGTGCTTTATCCACCAGTGATGCTGAAGGTCATCTTAAAGCAGACTGTCACATCTGACATACAGTATATTATACACGAAATATGGCTATTCTTTAAATGTGACACGCTCTCTCTCTTTCTATCTCTGTCTCTAGCATCTCTAGTTCTTTGTCTATTTTAAGCAAACCCGCATCCAAAAGGACGTATGAAGCATCCCATGAGCATGAATGTCCCTGCGCTCGTGCCTTGTTTAATTATTATAATTCAAAATCCCCAAAGAGATGAATGAAAAAATGATGGTGCACGCAGTGCGTGATATTTAAAGCATCTACTCGTGTCGTGCAATATATGCAAAGCAAACAGGTAACCTTCATATCGGTAAAATCGTTTGTCTCACCTTTCCATCAGCAATCATCCTCGAGGCAAAGCCACATCATGCGCTTCTTTTATTTACATCCCACGCGCTTCGCATGTCGGAATGGTGCTGAAAAATCTCCGATGAAGGCAATATTTGGATACGATGCACCTGAACCCATAGCCTTCGCGTCAGTGCATCACTGCATATTGCAATGTGTCCGCAATGATGACAGACTCTAATCAGCGCGTGCAAGAAAAGAAAAAAAACACGTTCGATCCTATGGGTCAGAAACGGAGAGTGCGAGCAAGAGCGTCGCTGGAAAAGACGCCATGTAACGCCGTGTGATGTGATGTAGAATAATGTCGCCCTCCCCACATGCACATACCTTTCCAGTATCTGTTCATATGCATGCATGCAATTATAGATTTAGAGTGTGTGCGTGTGCATGCGCGCGCATGTGGAGTTAATACATGCTAATGCAGGAATGCAAAGAAATTAAATGGGAAATGAATTATGCAACAGTGGCGTTAGACTGGATGATTTATGTAGTCAAGAATTATTCCTTTGTTCATCATTGCTGTAGCCTTCCAGTCAGCAATGTATACCTAGCCTATAAATAAATGATCTAAATTTGATGTAAATAAATTATCTAAATAAATTTGATCTGTGATTTTTAAAAATCATTTAAAAACGTTTAATTTAATATTATATTGTCTTAAAAACAGGTTCGTTTAGCATTAATAGATTGATTAAAAAAGAAGCAATTACACGATCAATTAATTGAGCAGCGAGCACAGGCAATTCATTTAAAGCTTTTAGATCAGATCATCTCTGAATGGAATTTGATGAGTTTAATAAGTCAGGTTTTCATAAATGAGTAGGCTATAGGAGAGACGTTGAGGCTGAGTTATCAACTTTTTTGACAAGTTTGTATTATTGTTGTCAAAGAATTGTGATAAGGTCATCACAGTTGGCGAAAAGATCATCTTTAATATCTGGTCAGAAAATAAGATGAGTAACACACACAAGCCAGGCTACTCTATTAATGAGCTGAGCAAATGATCCGGTTCGGCTCCCTAAAGAGAGCCGGAATTCCTATCAAAACAGCGATCAGTCAAGTGGGTTTAATGTCAGAATTTGTTTGGCAAATGTGTTTCCATCTCCCATTATTCGCATTAACTGTTTTTCACACAAGTCAAAAACCACTACAATTGAGCTAGAAACGTATTTTATTTTATTCCTTTACTTTTTTTGTGGATGATTTTTTGTGGAAGATTTTTTTTTTTATTTATTTTTTTTTTTTTACAAAATGTGCTGTTTCCATCACTCGAGTCGTTTCTGATGTGATACTTTAAAAAAAAAACAACTGTCACAGTTGATAGGTGACAAGAAACGTTTATTTTTTAAGTCCTTCGAATTATGCAGCCTCTGAATTGTGACACAGCAGACATTTGCAGCCAGAGATTACAGTGCTTTCTTGTGTTCATTGGAAAGGACATATATATATATATCAATATTCGAGACAATGATCATCAATGCAGCAACATAATTACATTATATTAAAAAGTACATCACACTCCAGACAAAAAAAAAAAACAGCACACAGCAGATAGGATGCTTTTGTTAAGTCATCTGCAATTCTTGTAGCTTTTTTTTTTTTTTTTTTGTTAAATATATAAAACTTGTTCCGCCTTTTAGAGAGGCTGAGACAGACTCATACTTTGAACGCATCGCTGCTAAATTCGGGTGTAAAAGTAATTTTCATGGTAAAGTGCAAGAGGTGTGTTCTGCACTTCCAACTGAACAGTCTCTTGATTATGAGATCTTCAAAGCGGCAGTGCTGAAAAAGCTTATGAATCATTGCCTGAAGCTTATCACCAATGCTTTTGAATGCTTTAATGAACACACGCAGTCAATCAAATGTACGTAGTTTGCTCAAGAGGAGAAAACATGTTTTGAGAAGTGGTGTCTTTCTAGTGGGGTCACAAGCCTTGAGCAGTTGCAAGAGCTCATCTTACTAGAAACGTTTAAAAATGTGCACCTGAGAACATACAGTAGCTGTTCATTTGAATGGGCAAAAGGTAAACATAATCTCTGAAGCTGCAGTGATGGCAGATGAGTTTGTACTTACCCACAAAACATATGAGTCTAAACATCAGTCTGCAGGCATAGGTCGTCAGAAAGGAAAGTTTGCTCCTTTTGAAAAGAACAGATAGTCTGTTGCCAGAGTTTGTTTCTATACTGCTTGGATTCAGGTCACCTAATTTCAGACTGTAAAGCTTGGAAATAAATTCTGGCTGCAAAGTCTAAAAGTATGGCTTTTCCTCAGGTTGTGTCTGTCCCTGAAATTTCCTCCATTCTAAGAGTTCTGGGTATGAACCATTTATCTTCAATTCATATTTTGCGCCTGTCATACATCTAAGCTTTGATGTTTACTGTGCACGTTATTTTGAAGGACAAATCAATCGTAAGTAAAGACCAAGTGTCCAAAGTGCATTTCAAGAACACTGCTGTGAGTCGTTGTGGTTCTACTATGTTAATTTGTCTATGCATTGGTCTTTGGTTACATTAGTTGGCCTACAACCTTGACATCCAGCATACCAAGGGATGGGTACTCCAAAATGCGTTAAAAGTGAGTATACTGTAAGTGGTTTAAGTTTGTTGTTAACCCATGTTGTAGAAATCCAATTTGTGACTTTACACAAATTTTTAGGGGTCATGTTTGTAACTTATGGGAGGGTGGTGTTACATCCAGAGACGTTTTTTGATTTATTGTTGTTATTGTTGCAGGCGAGTTATTGAGTTCTTTGACAACAATACAAACTTGTGAGTGTTAACTGTATGGTGTACTGTGGTATGTTTTCTTCTGTTTGTTATTTGTGTCACCTGCTTTCCTTGGTCTTTCCAGGTACCCTGATTGCTCCCCCAGCTTCACCTGCTTGCCAACCACGAGGAAGGCAACATAAAAACAAGGCAGCACTGTCAAAGAGAAACCTTTTCTTGAGCATAATCTGTGTTCTGCAAGGCCCAGTTTGTTGAAGCTATTATATACTCCTGTGGTAGTGTATGACTGTCTGGATTACTCTATAATCTAAAAGTATGCTTTATTGTTTGCGTAAGGGTTAATGCCCGACGAGGTGTCCATTAGGTTTTAATTGGACGACGGCGAGGTGTGAACCGGCCGACGCGCAGCATTTTTTTTTTTTTCATGAAACACAAGGTAGACATAGTTATTTTTTTTAATTACACATAAAACAATTAATCAAACAGGCTTCTTAGGCTTGAAACACTGTACTCTCCTCCTGCCTTGGTTGTCTGGACGGTCTCATTCAGTCTGTATGAGACCCTGCGAGCAGCAGCGGTGTAATTTTCTTTGCGACGTTTCTCCGTTTTATTTACATTTTTTCTTTCTTCAGCAGCATCCCAGTCGTCAAAGTTGTCATATTCTCCATAAATGTTAAAAGAAATAACGAAGTCGTTCATTGTTGTATTAGTAGGCTATGTAATAGCCTATCTAACTAAAGTTAGATGTTGTTTTGATAGAGCAAATTGTTAACGGATACTTTGACTGCCTGTTGCTATGGTTACTCACAGCTGTTGTGGGCAGCGCATTTATTTATTCATTTCTAATGGTAAACAGGCAGTTTCACCAGAACTACTTTACTAGGTGTCCTCTATCACTTTTTAACGGACACCCTGCAGCCAATCAGAATCGAGTATTCACCCAGACCATGGTATAAATATTGTTAATGCTTTCACCTTTTAAGCAGTTGCCCTCATGATTGTTTGTTTCTTTACCCTTTGTTTTGGAAGCTGTTGGAAGTGACTTTTGCGTAAACATACACGCCACTTTCAAGTCAAGTGGCGTGTTATCTATACGCATTTTGAGCTATCCGCGTGTATGTCTATGCCGTTAAATGTCCGAGTGATTCCGTGTGTAAGCGAAATGTAGAGCTACATCTGTGGAGAGATATTTTTTCCCTAGGATGGTAGGGGAAGACTCATAAATGCTATTAACCCCAGTGACGGGTAGGTTTAGGGACGGGGTTGGGGTAGGTCAAATATTTATATATACAGTACAGCACATTCTCATCCCAAGACGTCATACAACTGACGCTTTTGACCACACGTCAACATCCGCCGTTTTAGGGTACCCTTAAACGTCGGTTAGATGACGATCCTGGGGCATCATCCAACTGACGCTTTACCTTTAGCGTCAGTTAGATGACTCGGGTAGGTTAAGGTCGGGGGTAGGGTTAGGATTAGATAGCATCATCTAACCGACGTTTAAGGGTACCCTAAAACGGCGGATGTTGACGTATGGTCAAAAGCGTCAGTTGTATGACGTCTTGGGATGAGACTGTGTTATACAGTCATACAGCCAACGGCGTTCATAAACACGCTGAAAAGCGAATCTCCTGGTTTGTGGCTAGACAGGGAGTAAATGTACATTGTTGATTTGTTTTCTTGGATTCTTAGTTATGGTTTACTTCCATTTTTGTTTATTTTGGCATTGCCCCCTCTTGCAGCCATCACTTCCCAAGTTGTTGTGTGTAAACATTCAATTGTCACAAGCTGGTATAAAACTCTTAAAAGTGAACTGGTTGTTTGTGATGCTGTGGCAGGGCTCAGACTAGCTCTTTAAATGTGTCTGCTCAAGTCCCCTAAATTTGTGTACATGTAAGTCAATCAAGTGCACAACTAAACTAATTGTGGCCCTCTATTGAGGCAGCAATTGTTCAAGAGAAACAATTCAGTAAATATATTTTATATTTCTCGTTAATGTTTGAGTCAATATCACTGCAAAAATCTTAAAACTATTGATAAATATATGCTGTATGAAAATGAGCAACACTGATTTTTTTTTAAAATAATTTATTGTAATAACTTTCATTAATATAATAAATTAATCAATTAATTGTAATTCCATGACAACCACAGGCAATTATTTTGATCACGCTTTATATTTGGTGTTTAATGCACTTACGTTAAATTTGAAAGCATTTGACAGTGTACACATACTTATTGAGTTGTTCTGAGAAAGATTGTCAGAACTCCAGTTTATAATGCATATTTCCAAATAAATGTATTCCATTTCAATTTTAAGTGTGTGAGTGTACAGAGAGGTTAAGAACGTCTAGTGTAAAGTACGACTGTTATTTACAGCCTCCAGGCAGGACATCTCTGATTGCAATTTTTCATTAATATTTGATGAGTTTAATCAGTCAAGTTGTCATATAGAGTGGTAAAAGGCATGCAAAGTAAAACAAACAGAACAAAATTATGGATAATCCACTTTTTTTGGAAACAGTTGAGTTTTACCATTTTCGAATCAATTCAGCCAATTTTCTGATATTTAGAAGAATTGTAAACCAGACAGTTTCTGGTCCCATTGACTTCCATAGTAGGAAAAAGTATATAATATGGAAGTCAATGGGACCAGAAACCGTCTGGTTACTGATATTCTTCTAAATATCAGAAAATCGGCTGATTCGAAAATGGTAAAACCCAATTGTTTAACTCTGGAGGAGTTGTAAAATGAGCCTATTTCCAAAAAAAAAAGTGGAGTATCCATTTAACTATGAAGTAAATAACTTCTCTTTACTCCAGCCATTTCTTCTGCTCCTCACTGAATTTGTTTGCCCATTTTTGTGTTAACTCTAAATAAACTGTAGGTTTATGAGGAAGGTAGTCAAGATATACAGTTTTACCCCATGTCTTGGGGACGGCCTTTTCAATTTGCGTTCCTTCATGCCATTCATTGAAAGAAGTTATAGAGATCATCTGTGGCCTTGCCTCCACAGCCGCTTTAAAAGCGTTCTCATAATACTTCCCATTAATGCGGTTCCTTGTATTCTGGGCGTTCCAAGGCCTTATGCTGGTGTCGATATAACCTGGTCCTATACTTGGAATGAATACCAAGTCATTATAATCACAGAAAGTTTTGATGGATCTCCAGTTGTGATTTGAGGAACCATACGTAAAGCCATTGGTTGCAAAATACGTGTAGAGTCCATCAAATCCAGAAGTCTTTATGTCCTTCTTATGCTTTTCTTCCACAAGAAGTCCAATGAAGATGCCATCATACGGTGTGTCCCTAATGGTCGATATACCATTCGGCTTAAGCAGTTCTGCCCAGACATCTGGAGTTTGTAAGTAGGAGTCATATATATAATACAGTGGAAGAAATTTGCCAGTGCTTGTTTTGTATCTATAAAAAGCAGGATGATTTCCATACCTGTAAAAATGCAATATATATATGCGTTATTACATACAAATCTGTACATTAATCATTCATCAATGATAGAATAACTTCATATTATTTCAATTTAACTACAGCATTAGAGATTAATATCATCGCTTTTCTTATGGACAAAATAGCAAAAACAATCATTCTACTTTAAAGTAAACATGCAATGGAAGTTGTGATTGCCTTTTCTTCTTTATTGTGATGTATATCCGAGTGAAACGGCTTTATGAAAAAGAAAGATTGTAGAGTGTGACTCCATTGGAATTGATTGGGTCATTGAATGGTTGTGGTTTGCTATTGTTATGATGTTAAATGAGTGATAGGTTGTCCCACCCTCGCACCAAAAAAGTCGTAGATTGAAAACTCAGCATTACACAGGGAGCGCATTAAAAAATGATCCGGCTATAAGAGAAGCATATCTTGCAAATATAGTGTTTCATTAAAGTTGTTTTAAACATTTTAATGAACGCATTTTTTATATTTTAATTTATTATCCTCAACTGACTTGTATCAATATAAAACAACCTATTGCACTGTAGCCTCTCCCAGTTCTTACTTTCCGGACGTCATGTAACATATGAATTATTCTGTTTTTGATCAATTTACAAATTTTACTTCAAAGGTGACTTTTGATTAAAACATTTGTATTTTACTTTTAATATGTAACTGAAATGAAAATAATAATTATCCAGTATTCAGCATATTCCCTGTGAATAACTGATTTAGTACATCAGGTGTTACAACAATGTAAATTCTAGATTTAAACCAACAAAATACAGGTCAAATTAAACAGCTGACAAAAAACTAAGTTTTACCGCCAGACAAAAAAGTCAAAAAAATGAATTTAAACACTTTGAAAAGTTATACGCTTAAAACTTGTTTAAACACATTGGCCCTCATTTATCAATCTTGCGTAGAAACGGGTGTATATTTTGGTGTAAGATTATGCTTACACTCCTCTCACCGCCTGATTTATGAAGATGTGCGTACCTTTGAAATCCAGGTGTACGCAATGCCTGCCCTTGATAAATCCCGCGGCCGAAAACGATCGTCATTAGAATAACACGCCCCTACATATTCAAGTCTCCGCTCCCCCCACGCCCTTATTTTACGCCATGGACACACGGAAGACGGCAAAGAAGAGAAACTTCTCCGACGTGGAGCCGAAATTACCTATCACAAACAATGCATTATTTTACAGCACGTCTTTTGAAATAAGCATTCAATTTTGAATCACGTCACATGTATAATAGTGATGATGATGATGTGATGTGAAGTACCATTCATTCACATTAATAATTGCATGACAATTTCTAATAGTATTCTTCTTATTATTATGATTTGCATTAATGATGCTTATTGTTATTTAGAAGAAGGATGTCGTTATTATTATTTCTATTATTATTATCATTTAAAAGAAGAAGAATGTATTTTTTATTATTTTGTTAGTCTGAATTATTTTTTGGTCATTGAAAGCCTTTCATTAGGCTACCGAACCCAGTCCGTGCGCACCTGCCGGGGATAATCCTGAAACGTCAGGGTAAAGTGGGCTCGCAACTGAAGGAATATAGGCTACAAATCAAATGCTTTGGTAAAGTCACACAAATTAAACATTGAAGTCCACGTTACACAAAAATAAATACTGAAGTTTATAATTTCTATGTTGTTTTTTTGTTTGTTTGTTTGTTTTACAGTGGGTCATAATATATCATATCTTTTAGGTTGTCAGTGCGTTTTGTGGTGTAAGGAATTTTTCTGCGCATTTCCTCACTAACTCAAAAGGTGCGTACACCACCTCTTGAGCTGGTGTAGGATTCGAGCGTGCCGTACGCCAACGTCCATATTGATAAATCTCAAACTCACCGTGGTTTTGAGTGTACGCAAGGTGTACGCTGGAAATGTGGTGTACGCACTTTTGATAAATGAGGGCCATTGTTCCCGTTGTTCCCAACAAATTATTCATTTTTGAAGCTGCATTTGTCATTGACCCAATTTTAAAAATGTATATCAACCTAGATTTGTAAATGTTACTATTTAATTTATTTAACTAATGTTAAACGACAACTCCGGCGCAAAATGAACCTTTGGTCTAATTACACATTGTTACCTTGTCAACCGCTATCAGAGATTTGTTTTCATGATTGCCGAATGTAAATAGTTTTATCTCTAAAAACAGTTTAGCCTATAACGCTAGTATAATGCTAGTATATAGGGCATAGAGTAATGACAAATAAAAATCGCTTGTTATTACCACTAACAAGGCTCAAAATAGCCCCACACTAACACGACAGCATAACAAGGGTCCCTACATTCAAACCGAAGCATTGAGAACTTTGTCAGTGTCCATACAGTTTAATAAGAAGATATTTTATACACATAGTCAACTTCGCGAATACAGGAAGAAGCCATCTTGGAAAAATAGTCTCTACCAGTCGATCTACGAACGCCGATCCAAGTGCGCTGGTGAGATGTGAATAAGGTGATAAGGTGAGCGCGAACAGTAGGCTATGTGTACATATTGAAGAGAAGAAAACGGTTTGTGTTTGTGTTTCTTCTGGAAACAACGGACCATATGACATTCTGCACAGTTCAGTGCACATGGATCGGCGTTCGTAGATCGACTGGTAGAGACTTATTTTCAAAGATGGCTTCTTCCTGTATTCGCAAAGTTGACTGTGTATAAAATATCTTCTTATTAAACTGTATGGACACTGACAAAGTTCTCAATGCTTCGGTTTGAATGTAGGGACCCTTATTATGCTGTCGTGTTACTGTGTGGCTATTTTGAGCCTTGTTAGTGGTAATAACAAGCGATTTTTATTTGTCATTACTCTATGCCCTATATACTAGCATTATACTAGCGTTAAAGGCTAAGCTGTTTTTAGAGATAAAACTATTTACATTCGGCAATCATGAAAACAAATCTCGGATAACGGTTGACTAGGTAACAATGTGTAATTAGACCAAAGGTTCATTTTGCGCTGGAGTTGTCCTTTAAGAAATTAAGTAAATGAATAGTGAGAGCTGTATAAAAGACATCAAACATACCTCTCCACAATATATTTAATATTTTCACGCATATTAGCATCATCTCGTCCTTTATATGGCTCAATGTGAAAAACAACCTGTTAGGGACACACAAAAAAAGCATTAGACACAAAAGCAAAAGCAAGACTATGAATCTCAAACCTTCATGTGTATCTACAACACCTTTAACTGATATTTGTCAGCTGCATCCAGAATCAAAGGCATCAGGTTATCAATTTCTTCACCGTTGTCGTCGTTCATACTACGTGGATACCACGAAACCGCTAGAACACCTGAAATAATCAAAGCATATTCAGTAGATGGATGGAGCAACTGTAATAAGTAATCATAATACATATTTCAAAGTGGCTTCTCACCAACTGCGGCTGTTCGGAGCTGTCGCATGTGTTCCTCTAAAACTGATGGGTCTCTGGAGCTGTATGGACCCAGTGCAGGGTAGAAATTTGCCCCGATGTCATTAGGAGGCTGGTGTTGTCCTGTGGGATAACCTGAGGCCACTTTGGGGTCCCAGTGTGGTAAGAGTTGATGATCCCAGTGAACATACTTTCCATCAAACTGAGGGTTCCCATACCATACATAGTAGAAAGCGTGCACGTTGTAATTTGGTTTAGGGAAATCTTGCACATTGTAATTTGGTTCAGGGAAATCTTGCATTTTGTTGTCCAGGCTATCGGGTTTCTCTGCCTGCATCATCTGCACAGGTTTAGCGGATACAACAACCATGGTATCTTTTTCCATTTCTCTTGGAGGTGGAATAAGTCTTAATGTAAACTGACCAGCAAAATTGTTATCCTCAGGACTCAGAGACTTTAAGATAACTGTTATAATAAAAACAGCCAAGGCTAAAGCAATAAGTGCAAAACATGATTTACGCCTAAAGCGTGCCATTACCCTGGAGGTCAGTTAAAGTCCATTCCCCCGAAGATGTTCGGTCAATGGTGGAACAAATATGTTAAGGTAAACTTTCAAGGTTCATTCTTCATCTTTCGGCTTCTGTTGGAAAAGCTGGGGGAGGGGTGGGGGAGGGTGTTTTTATTTATTTATATAATTATAAATAAATACTGAAATACTATTATTACATTATTAATAAATAAATAACTTTAAATGAAACTCATTCTGTAATAAGACAGTAGGTCATATCAAGGCACCTTGTGTTGCACAACTTCTTTCGACTACACTATAATCATTAACTTTTTAACCTATGCAGATAGACGGGGAATGTTTTGTCTATTCATTTATCGGTCATTCCTACATTGATTTGATGTAGCAGCATTTGTGAAAATAAGCATTTGTGAAGACAATATTAGTATGCTGAAAATGCATGGACATTATTGTTTTTAAATGGTTAACCTACCAAAATAATCACCATAACACGTTGTCCATTAACAGAAATCAACATTTTGTTTCGTTACAAAAACTAAATTTTTTAGACCTAAAACTGCAACCAGGGAAGAGAAAATATAATAGAAAGCAGGTATATTGTACATTTATTTCACCCTGGCACATGTGCAACTAAGACTAATACTAAGTTTTATAATAATTACATTTTGAAAATATGCAGCGTCATCATACCTCTCTTGACAGACATCAAATGACACATCTCGTGAACAGAGCATATCTAACGCTTTAATCTAATACGGAAGTATCAAGTGAACAATATTTTCTTCTGTCTTGTTTATTCGGCAAAATGTAGATACAAGCGAGTTATACTGCAATCTACTGGGCGGGAGATGAAAAGGCTAAAGTCATGAATATTAATTAGCTTGCTTTCACGTTCCTCAGAGCCATTGGCGAAAGGCCAGCCACGGTGTCTGATTAATATTCATGAACCAAGTCTTCTCCATAGTAGCATTCGTAAATTCGTTGGTCGGAGAGCTGTGAAAATCAACCCGGATTGCAATGACAGCTGTCAGACGAAGGTTGATAGTAATTTTATCGTCTGACTCTGTCTGTTTCAGTCTGGATCAGCTAAGTTCAAATTTCCTTTTTGCCTTTCGTGTTTCGCGTTTTCAAAATAAAAATGTGCCAAATAGGTCCTTTGGAAATTAAAGGTAGGCTAATATGAAATGTATTATACACGTAGTAAATGTGGTTTTTGCCTTAAACAAAAGATTAAAAGAAATGATATTATGGTTTGAAATTTCGAACTAATCGCATTTTCAATCGTAGCCATGAGGGGGCGCTGTTTGCATTAAAATAAAGTGGGTAAACTGGAGTTACAACGAGGCTGCATTTAAAGGGATAGTTCACCCAAAAATTACAATTCTGTGCTCGTTTAATCACCCTCAAGTTGTTTAAAACCTGTATGAGTTTCTTTCTTTAGTTTTTAAGAAATGGCTTAAAGGGTTAGTTCCCCCCAAAATGAAAATTATATCATTAATAGCTGTGTCTGAAATCGCTCCCTATCCACTAAATAGTGCACTATATCGGGTGTCGGCCATTTTGTAGTGGTGTCCGAATTCTGAGTGAACGACATCATTCCCTACATTCATTCACTACTTTTACCCACAATCCTCTCTGAATTCGAGTGTACATTCGATGTACACTCGCTGAAGCCCCTATTCCCACAATCCAATGCGGAGAGACTGTGAGCGCGCATGAAAGTTCAGCGCGAGCAAGTTTAAACCAGAGATTACATTACATCCAGTGGAGGATTGAAAAATATCCGTTAATCGTCGTTTTGAACATAATAACGGTCGCCGGAGGGCGCTCGACGACACGTCATCTGTGAACGTGAGAGTTAATGTACAATTTCAGTCGATGAAACTACAAAGCTGGCACGGAGGTATAATTACAAAATAAAGTCATTATGATTGTTATTGTTGTTAATATTATTTATAAAACAGGTAATGTAGATAAAAGAGTTTTATCAGTACGCGTGACGAAGCCTTTTCTGCGACAGCTCCAACTCTCCGACGCACAGTGTAAACGTCAGCGTCCGAATTCACTCACTTCATCTCCTTCACTCCTTGCAGATATAGTGCACTCAAATGCCATACACTATATAGGGATTAGTGAATGAGTGAACGAGTGAGCGGTTTCAGACACAGCTAATGACTCACCCTCATGGCAGTCCAAGCCCATAAGACTTCATTTTATCTTCTTAACACAGTTTAAGGTATTTTAGATTTAGTCCGAGAGTTTTCTGTGCCTCCATTGAAAATGTATACACGGTATACTGTCTTTGACCAGAAAGGAAATAAATACATCATCAAAGAAGTCCATGTGACATCAGTGGGTTAGTTAGAATTTTTTAAAAATCAAAAATACATTTTGGTCCAAAATAAAAATTCTCTTCCAGTTCTGTTGTCAATCTGCATTCACAGCTGCCACACAGTCAGTCCACAGCTGCTGATGTAAGAGAATACACTGAATAAATTTGTACTTTTTATTATTTTTGGACCAAAATGTATTTTCAATGCTTCAAAACATTCAAACTAACTAACCCACTGATGTCACATGGACTACTTTGATTATGTCTTTATTTCCTTTCTAGACAAGGACAGTATACAGTACATACATTTTCAGTGGAGGGACAGAAAGCTCTTGGATTAAATCTAAAATATCCTATCTAAAATGTCTTACAGGAATGACATGGGGTGAGTCATTAATGACATAATTTTCATTTTGGGGTGAACTAACCTTTTAACGCGAACTGTCTGGTTAACAACACTCTTTAATATCTCATAAACTCATGCAGGTTTGGATGAGGATGAGTAAATGCTGACAGAAATTTAATTTTTTTGGTGAACTATCCCTTTAAGCTCATTGTGTTTGTTCAGTTAGCCTATCTGATTGTTTGGATGAACATTGATTTGTTCATAATGTACATACATCATAATCTTCATAACATTCTGATTTTTCACAAGATTGCATCAATTAAATAAAATTAAAATTTGGCTAACAATTAAAAAGAGAGAGTTCTGGGTCGGCACACTTCAAATTAAAGGCACAATACATTTATTCACAATTTACACTTTCAAATCTAGCTTATTGGATGTAGATTTTAGAGTGTATATACTCCAACATTAATACTGAGCTGCTAGAAGTCACAATCAATCCCTGGTGTTTGAGTGACTCAAACAAAGCTAGAAAGCTTTCATTTCCCAAGTGCACCATGCACACTATGACAGGTTCCACTGATGCTTTGTGAGGATGGATGCAGAGCTGAGGCACGTTTAGCATCTTAAGGTCTCCATTTTCTGTGATAAAAAGGACTTTGATGTCAGTGTGCCACTCTGCGCCTTTGAGAATCTGTCACAGTTTTTTTTTTTACCTAACAGTGAAATTATGGCTCGTTTGGAATTGGATCAGAATCAAAGGAGAAGCTAGAGCCGTCTGCAACAACCCGATAATTCATATAATTGCTTGCCAGCTCCTTTGGGGTACAGTGAGATTAAATGCTGTTATGCTTACTCTAGCTCTAATCTAAATACAACCACCATACAAATTGAATATTTAAATAACCTGAACTGTGGTTGCAATTTAACTTTCTACATCTTTCACTATTGTAGCCTAAAAACGTGAATACAATGTTATTTTCTCAGACTGAGTACATGTGATTCAACACATACAGGTAATAATGATTTATTGGGCTACTGCGACAGTTTTACTTTATTGCAAAAGGTGGAAAATGGATTTGAATGGATTAGATTAATTTAAAAATTGCAAATAAAATAAAATGAATAATTAAAATAAGGATGATAATAACAAAAAAAACTAAAACTTTTTTAAATAATTATAAAGAGTCATAATTCTTAAAAAAAAATTTAAAAAAAATAAGAAAGTCACAATGTAATGTGTTCCAGAGTGTTTTAAAAATCAATGCTGCCTGCATGAGGTGTCAAAATCCCATTATCTGTGAAATCATTAGCTCGCCAAATGCGATATTCTCGTATCCGCAGTATGTGTGGCACTTCAGAGGTGATTAATTTACAGGTATGATGTTAAGTTGTTAGTTAGATTCACAAATTGTAGAAAAACTGAATGGCTCGTGCTATATTTTATCTCTTTACTATGGGCGCATCGCCATGACGTCATCGCCCCAATGTCAACAATGTAGCAATTTAGAGGAGGCGCGTGCTGGAAATCCCACAATCAGCAAGGAGCAAAGCAAAAGCACGCGGTCTCGAATGTAATCCAACATAGACTCAGACACTGAACACACCATTCCTCCTGCTTCTAATAAACCGTGCAAGCTTCAGCTGTTAACGAAGCGGGAAGAAAGAGACCATGTGAACGCGTCTCGCAGAATATCTTCGTGCAGGAACGACTGAAAGTTTAGGTAAGTGAACCTGCTCTTTACAGTTTATGTCTGTTTTGGTGTGAGTGAGCGTCTTGTTGATAAGAGTGAGTTGATAATGACACCAGAAGAGGCGACGTCTCAGCACAGTGAGAAAGCTTACGTCAACGTTTTCGGACCGTACAGTCAGTCAGAGGAGCTGCACTGACATTATTAGGTCTGGAGGTTTGTGCTGCATTTAGTCACCAGTAGATGGATGGCAGCAGGCACAATTATATGTTCGACCGACTGCACTCTGACTGACTGAGACAAAAGGAAACAGTGATTCAGCAAGACCACATTTAATACCATTTTTGTGTGTTCACATCTATCTATCTATCTATCTATCTATCTATCTATCTATCTATCTATCTATCTATCTATCTATCTATCTATCTATCTATCTATCTATCTATCTATCTATCTATCTATCTATCTATCTATCTATCTATCTATCTATCTATCTATCTATCTATCTATCTATCTATCTATCTAAATGTCTATCTATTAATGCAGTCATGTTAAGGAAAAATGTTGTATTTATGCAGGGTTATTATAGTTACCATAACCATAAAAAAATTTCAGCTAGTTTCCAAGGCAAGACTTCTCATTTTTATTTTGTTCAACTTGATTACTAAAACTGAAGTAAATACTAATACAGGTATATAGACATAAAAAATGACTTAAATACAATAACAGAAAATTTCTACAGAATGTCTAAAAAAAATAAATAATTCAAAATATAAATAAAAACTATGATTCTATCTATCTATCTCTATTCTATTTATCTAACTGAAATCATAATCTTAGACTTAAAACATTCTCAAAATTAGGGAAACAGATTAAAAAATGTATACCAGGTAAATCAAAATTAAGAACTTTTTTGCACAGTGTTCGTTTGTGTAGTTACTCCATTAAAATTGGGCTAATGTTGATGTTTCTCAGACCATAAAATTATCTAGAAATTGACATGTCTTTAAATAGAGGTGTTATGATGACTTTGGGGTGAAGTAAAGATCAACTGATAACCAAGTCATTCAAATGTGAAAGTAAATCAGGAAATTATAGATTTGATCGTTCCTTAAAGTTTAAGTTTCCTAAAAATTTATAGACAACTTATACTTTAACTTATAATAATTTAGATTTTTATTTTTTTAATTGTGGGGATGATGAAACATACATATTAAAAAAAAATCGAGGTATTGCATCACTATGTTGTACTGAAAGAAGAAGTGAGAGGGCATTGGTTGGCTTTATGAAACTATCAGCCTGCCAAAACAAACTTGTGTTTGTTGCTTTCTTATTACTATATTTTGCCTGCACCAGTTTTAAAACCCGTATGCTTCAGAATCTCTTCTGAAAGATCATCTTTATCTCATGCATTAGACCATTATTACTGCATATGAAACCAATTGCGTTGCACCACATAGACCCAGATTTGATTCGTTTTTGATTAAGCAGGGAGGGTATGAGATTCGGTTATGGGTGGATAAAGTGTTTGTGGGTTTATGGTTTACATCCTGTGAGAAGAGATGTTCACAGGTCTTTGTGGCGAAGAAAGGAGAGCAGCTGATTTCCTGTGTTCGTTGTGGAACTTTTCACCAGATTCTAGAAATACTCGGATTCATTATATATGGATAGAGTTAACACTTTCACCTTTTAACTTAGATTTGCATAGGAAAGCACTATCTCTCTGACACTTACCTACATCTTTATTTAGAGCTGTAACCTTAGTGTGGTAATGATGAGGAATCTTGGTCTTAATGTGGTAATGAGATGCAACTACACGTCAGAACCAATTATCATAATGTTCAGTGCTATTTATCAGGAGATTGTATATTTGTTCTGGATATTTATCACAGCAAAGATCTGGCTTATAGGACTTGGATCTATTTTAGTGTTATTCGTGATTTTTTTTTTACTCCAAAACCTTTGTAATTCCCAAAAGTGTTTAGACATATAATATCAATGGCCACTAATCAGGCCTCATCTTCACTTTTGACTATGCAGAAACATCTCCTTAGTCATGTAACAGCGGCTTGTTCTTCTGATGAAAGCACCTTTGTCAGCAGTTGTGGGTTTGTCGCTTATCACCGGTTGAGAAACAGATGTTATGTCTTCTGTTTGTGTTTGCAAGCCTAGCAGATGTTTCTTCATTGACTGACTGGAAACTGCTTCTGTAATAGTCTGATAAAACAGAATTCCGGTTCTGTGTCATGAAGTGCTTGAGTCACCATATACGTGACCTTTAGTATTCAGCAGTGAAAGCTGCAATATTTCTCAATAAGAGCTGTGCACTGTACACAGATCAGCATCTCAGATGCAACATATTTAGCTTTGAGATGAAATAATCATACCCGAAATGACTTGCTATACAGTTACAGGTGTTCTCACTGTGTTTTGTGCATTGTATGTGGCTGCTATAGTGTTTCTGAGGGGTTGTTTTATGGTTGCTTAGCCCAATTCAAAACCGCCCTCTTAATTTCAGTGTGTCTGTGAGAAGTTTTAGCCGTTTTGTCTGATTGCTTTGAATGAACAAACACTACTATGTGTGCATTTCAATTTTATTCAATCTGCACCATCAAATCACTGAATGGTGTGTTCAGAGTTTTGGTTTTGCTCATTTAGTTTCAGTTCGGCTCACTGCATGTGTAATTTTCACCACAATATTGCTAAGTCATTTGTAAGATCCTTCTGTACCCAAACATTGTGATTAAAGCAGCTCACACAGCTAATAATGAATTGCCAGGTCATGATATGATCATACCAATGGCTATAATGCTCATATGGAGCAAAGGGTGAAATAAACAGAGCTGGAATGCACTTGGCCACAGCTGTCATTTATTAACTGTGTGGACTTGTTGAACTCATTGAGTACTGATTAACTTCCTGTTGGACAGCTAGAGTAGTGTTAGTCTGAGGGATCGACTCAATCTGAGAGAATACAAACACACAGCTAATGGGGCCATTAGGAGATTCCCTTTGTGGTCAAGTAACAATATGGGCAATGTTGTTACTGATACTGAACTGTCAAAATGTCACACTTCCACTTTGAAAACTCAGAGTATTCCGCACCAATTTTTTTAAATTAATTACTTAAATGCAAATGTTTCGCCAATCATTATTACACATTCAGGTCTCTAGCGGTCCGGATCTGTATCTAACACGGATGGATCTCTCTCTACCTGTGCCGATAATATAAAACACTACTGATATTAGCGTAACAATTACTGAAGAATAAAATAAAGCATCATATTTTTTTTACCTTTTGGAGCTTGAAATGTTTCAGTTTGAGCAGATATTTTTAACAATCATCACTGAGAGCTCATTTCCCAATACATTCAGCATCTGGCTCATATGCACGATCTCAAACATATCATTTTCAACATCTTCAAAATCAATATTTTGATCACTGACTGCTTCTTCACCAAATCCATCATTAAAGAAACTCTGTGTGAGATTTACTCCCATCTAGCGGTGAAATTGTATTTTGCGTTCAAACAAATTGTGCTCTCCAGCGCCTCGCTTTTTCAAATGCGCGTTGCATCTGCGGTAGCCGTTATGTACCAAAAAGCTATTACAGGATGTCTTCTAATAGCACTTTGCTGAGTTTTTCTTCAGATGAACAGGTTTGTAATTTCGAACAAACTGCAACTAGACACAGCGAACAAACAAATGTTACAGTATGAATAACTGACTGTGAAAAACATGAACTATTCTAATTAGTATTTATGCCTTCTTTATTTGTCACATTAGTCACACAGAAATAAATTACTGTTAGGTTTCACAAAAGAAAGAGGACACACTTCAGTCGCGTCTGTTTCTGTTTATTTGGTAACTTAGTTACAGGAATTCTTTCTAAATGTGATATAAATATGTCCTGTAACTAAGTTACCACTCTCTCGACTCCCAGTAGGCTACAGATATTTTCAGTCAGAGAAAAAGAAGAAGCTCCCTAAAAGAAAGTTGCTTTATTTTATGGTAGTCAGGTATAAAGAGGCGAGACGTAGGCTATCTGACATAAAATAAAAACATGATTGTGATGTCCTTTATGATTGGTCTGATTTCTTCAAACGTTCACCATGCATTTTTTTTTACTATGTGCAAATAATGCAAGAACAATCATTTGCTCTATTAAAATGTATTCTTATCGAAAATCTAGGTTACAGAAAGTAAACTAACAAACCTTGTTTTTAGCGCCTTCTCTACTTTACGCAGTAGCTGCTAATGTTATTCATCAAATACTTTTCACTATAATGGCGCTTTGCCACTACACAGCTCGCCTTTGTTTGGTTTTCCACTGTGTAAAAGTTGTACCTGTTCCTGCTTTCGGGTACTTTTTTTTGTACCACCTCCGGCGAGGTTCTGAGCGAGCTAAGGCGATACTAAAATGTCACGTGAAAACAATGCCGACTGCTGATTGGTCAGAGAGAATCGTCGCTATTCACTGCGTCATCATTACATGCGCCAGATGGAGTATCCAGAATAACCCCACTATTTTTAAATAGTTTGGCCAGAGATAGTTACTAAACTAACTACTAATATTATGGCAACTCGGAAGAATATGCCGTGGTCAAACGAGGGGGTGGTGCAGACTTTCCTTTGTTTGGTGGCCTAAGAGAGGATCCTGTGAGAGATTGATTGGGCAAGGAGGAACGAAAGGCGTAGGCTTATGACGACCGGGTACTATTTGTAGCGGTACTGTCTGCAATGGAAAACGGAACGAAAAGCGAGCTGAGCCAAGCCGAGGCGAGCCGAGTCGAGCTGGTACTGGTAATTGAAAAGCGCCATAAATGTTCTACTGTCTATATACACAACCAAGCAAAAAATGCTTGTAATTAAGACTGTAACATCGACTTACCTGTCGAGGAGAAAGCAGGACTTCAGCAGGACTCTTTTGAAATCTTTCTCATTCATTCGCTCTATCCACCTGGAAAAAGCTATCCCGTCATTATCTTGTTTTTTGTACTCTGTGCTGCGGTCACGTGTCCTTTTTCGTTCAA